GCAACATTAACAACATCTATCGTCTTTTTACAATGAATAAAATGAACCATCTTAGAAAAATGATCAACAATCGCATAGATGGAATCATTACGTCATTGTATTCGAGTAGTCTTAAAATAAAATTTATGTTGACATCCATCTAAGGTTGAGATGACACGAGTAACGACATGTAAAGTTTGACATTAATAGTTGTACCTTTAGACACTTGCGGATGCAATAACATTGAACAAATTTATCCATTTATTTTCGAATGGTAGGCCAAAAGTATGAGCTTTGAACCGGTTACAATATTTTTTCTCGCCTCACATGACCCTCCTTATGCAGCTCCTTAATAATCCGCACATGCAACCGCAATAAGAAATACAAAGTCGGTTTTCCTTGAATAATAACCCATCATGCAAGAGGAATTTTATCTTCTTTCCTGCACAAACCTTCTCCATAATAGTAGAGAAATATGGGTTAATATTAAGCAAATCACAAAATAAATCTAAGCTAGGTACCTCAACTCGCATGCGTGTCAATAAGCAACTCCTCCTACTCGGTGCATCTGTCACCCTTTTAGGGAACCCGGCCTTATGTTTAACCACAAAGGTGAACTGCTGTAAATAAGCAATTTATCTTATATACCTCATTGAAACTTTATCCTGTTTATATAGGTGCTTCGATGCCTCATGATTAGTAGACAATACGAATTTCTTGTGGAATAAGTAATGCCTCAAATGCTTGATTGCTTAAACTACTCGTATAAACCTCTATATCACAAGTACTATAATTAAGCTTCACACTCGATAGCTTCTCACTAAAATAGGCCACTGTTCTATTATTCGACTCAATACTACCCTAATAGCTAATTTTGACGCATCACTATGTAGCTCAAAGGGTTGTATAAAGTACGGCAATACTAAAATTGAGGCGGACATCATTCGTGCCTTAATTTTTTAAAATGCCTTTTCTACCCCTTCATTCTATGTAAACCTTACTCCATTCATACGGTCGATAATTGGGGCCATGATGTTACTAAAGTGAGGAATAAAGCATCGATAAAAAGAGGTAAGTCCATTGACTCTTTGGATCCGTGTAATATTGCTAGGTCATAGCCATTGTCTCACCATCTTGACCTTGGACTCATCTACTTACAATCCATCTCTAGAAATGATATAACTAAGAAACGACACCTCGGGTTCCATGAACATATATTTTTTTACTGCTTGTGTAAAATTTATCTCTACGAAGCATTGATAGAACCTCTCTCAAATGCTGAACATGGACATCGAGGTTAGCACTATAAATCAGAATATCATCAAAATAAAAAAAGATAAATTTATCGATAAATGGCCTTAAGGCTTGATTCATGACACGTGTAAAAGTGCTTGGCATGTTTGATAATCCAAACGGCATTACTAACTACTCATACGAGTCCCTTATGTGTCTTAAAGGTTGTCTTCCACTCATCTTCAAGCCTAATGCGTATCCGATGATATCCACTCTTCAAGTCTAGGTTTGTAAAGACCTTTGCGCCATTGATCTAGTCAAGAAAATAATCTAACCGTGGAATAAAAAACTTCTACCAAACTATGATCTTGTTAATGACATGACTATCTACACATATGAGCTAAGAACCATCCTTATTTGGCGTCGGCAATGCAAGCACGACACAAGGAGTCAAGCACTCTTGTACATGCCCTTTGGCAAGCAACTCCTCAACCTCGCCTCCTTAATTCCTCATGCTCACTAGGACTCATTCTATAATGGGATCTATTGGGCAACATCAGCTCAAGCTTTAAATCGATCTAGTATCTGGATATCTCGTAAAGGTGATAACTCTTCACGCAACTCTTATAGGAATACATCATGAAATTCTACCACGAGAGAGGCTACGCCTCTAGTACTACTTGTATCGGTTTTGGCTTCCTTTTCCATCAACATATAAACTACTCTCGAATCCTACACCTTTTCCTCAAATCGAGTTAACGACACCAACTTACTATCATCTTTGCGGGCTTGAAAACAATTAGATTCTTGCTAGGCATACGTATAATTTTGACCCCCATTAAACATGAACCTAGAGGCATTAGACCATCTCTTATTGGTTACACTTCTATCATACTCGTCATGGTCTACCCAATAACAAATAATATGTATCCATAACAATCACATCACGTAACACATCATCCTTATACTTGGAACCATTAAAGAATGGAACTAAAGCTCGTTGAGAAATGATTACTTTGTCTCCCTTTTTAAACCAAGGCAACTTATAAGGTTTTGGATGTCCTTCTATTTTGAGACTCAATTTTTGTACTTGTCTCATTAGACATAATATTTTCACAACTATCGGCATCAATGACGAAGCAATATACCTTACCCCGAATGGTGCGGGTGGATTGAAAGATATTACTCCTTAGCCAATCATCCTCGACGATCCTAGGAGTCGAGCGGGACCTCCTAACAACTAGTGTCGTCCCTTAATCACCCATAACAATCTCCTTTTTTGAGATGTCTCTATCATCATAAACGGGCTCACGAGCTAGCTCAACATTACCTTCATCATATTCCTCGGTATCGGTAAGAAGTGCCCTCCTTATGGCCTTTCGACACTAAGATTCTCTATGACCAATTTTGCCATAGTCGAAGCACTTTATGTTACTACCGGTTACCTTGCTAGGTTATCCCGTAATTGGGGTGTTTCAACTTTTGTTACCATCGCCTCCAGCTCGGCCTACACCACTACCACCACCCAAGTCGTTGCTATTACTATTACCTTCTATACTTGAAGAGATTAGTGAAGCTGCTAAAATGGCATGACTATTTCTCAACCGATAACGCTTTCTAAAAAGCCATCAAAAGACATATAGAATTGAGCATACTAATGGAGTACCCGATCCGTGGCTTCGACCTCCTAATATATCTTGCCACTAATCGATCCTTTATCTCTTACAATTCATTTCAAGCTAACAACTAATAGAATTCGGTGGTATAATCTTCTACTGTCCGAGTCCCCTATCTCAAATCTTATAACCGTTGGTACATCATCCTCCGATAATTGTAGGGTAAGAAGGTAGTATGTATGTGCTTCTTTATCTTCTCCTAATATGTAATCTTAGGCTTACCCATTCAATTTTTGGTCGGCTTCAAATGCTCCCACTAGCTAGTTGCCCTCTTTTTTAAATGCGGTGGCTACTAAAGGCACTCGCTTATCCTAAAAAACATCCTTAAACTCTAAAATCTCCTCCACTATCGACAACCAATCTAGAAACTCTTCTACTCGAAGAGTGTTATGAAATTCGAGAATCTCCGTACTGCATACCATTCTTTTACTTCCTACTATCGGTTTCATTTATAGGAACTCTATGTCATCTGGTCGGGACGTTCTCATCATCCTTATCATCTTCAAGGTCGGTCTCGGCACTTTTCAATGATGATTCGATTTTGGTTCCTAGGGCCTCTACCTATGTTCATTGTCAATGCACCCATTTGCTATGCCAATGCCTCTATCTACTCGTGTCAACTCGCTCCATCCTATCATTCATCTGCTCGACTCACTCGCTCCAAATATACCATATCGGTACGCTCGTAGAGCTCATCTATATCTCGCTCTCGTTACTACTGCCTCCTTGACGACATGTTTAGAAAAACGATACCTAAGCTTTGATACCAATTGACATAGTAAAAATACATAAGAAAAGGATAAATATTATTGATCTAGAATTCGGATATTAGTCTACTATAATATGTTGAATTGTACACATAAATACCAAGAAATAGGCTTCGATCTCGTTGATTCAAAAAATGTCAAAAATTAGAAAACCGAGATACTCTCTCACAAAATTTATTAGTCAAGTAAAAGTGACGTTTTTCAGCTTAGAAGTCTTACATAAATAGTAAATTTTAGCCAAATCCCTAAAGAAATTTGAAAAGGAAACAAACACTAAAAATCCAAAATTTTGAGAGCCTAAATAATTTTTTTTCCAAAATCACCCTTACATCATAGGCGAAGCTAATGAGTTTTTATCATTAGCCCGTTTGATATCGAATTAGGTTAAAAAACCCTCAAAATTAGGCTAAAAATCCAAAATCATGTCACCATCCGCTATTATGTTGCTCCATGAATTCTAAAGCCTTTTGGTCCACATCATAAGGCCATTAGATTAATGCATGTTAGCCTTTAACAAGAGCTCACTAGTATACTTATGTTGACGAAGAAACAAGCTAGTAGCTCCTCATTAAATCTTTATCCCCAAAAAATATCGAACCCATCCAAGATATTTCATTAAGAAAATGGAATGCGGGGTAGAAATTAGAGAGAATATCAAAGTTCTATTACTGCTAAAAATAACCAAATTATATAAAAAAAAAATCGGATAAAAGATTATCTTTTCTAAACTATCTAAAGAAGAGAGATACATCAATTTGGAAGCCTTTGAAGCTTGGTGACGGTAGCTTATCCGTGAGGCACTTAAAACATTGACGAGGCATTTGTTCTAAGTCATAGAGGGACCTCGTTAGCTTACAAACATGCATAGGTCTCTTATGGTCAACATAACCTTTCGATTGTGACATGTAAACCACTTCATCTAGATAACCATGAAGAAATGCATTTGAAATATCTAATTGCACAACCCTCAAACTTAAAGAAATAGCTATGGAGAGAATCGGACACAAAGCAACGGGTTTGATAACTAGACGGTAAGTGTTAGTGAAATCAACACCGGGATGCTGGTTGAATCATTTTATAACCAATCGTGCTTTGTAACGATCAATAGTCTCATCCGAGTTTTTCTTCACTTTGTAAACTCATTTACTGCTAATGACATTATAAGTGGTTTCACGGGGAATAAGCTCTTGTGTATTATTAGTAAGCGAGTGTACGTATTTCATTTGTCATGGTTTCACACCATTTTGGATCTATCCTAGCTTAAGAATAAGAATATAGAGTAGTTAGAAAGACCATGATTAAGTATATGTCGGGCTTTATATTACCTAATTGGGTATGAGTAACCATGGTATGGTTAGGAGCTACTGCTGCTAGTGATCGAGTACGAGAAACTATTAGGTCGAGGAGGTAAAAGCTATTTTTATAAAGGCGATGATAGTGGTTATGGATAGGGGCGTGATAATTAGACATAAGAGATATGGGTTAGTTTTATGAAGGCAAAACATGATAGCTTGGTAGAGGTGGCAAGGGCGGCTTCGAGGTAGAAGATCAAGGTTTAGGTGGGCTAAAGGATGGAGGCATGGTTAGTGAGTGGGGGTGAATGCGAAACTACCATGTTAAGTGTTCAAGGATTTGACATGATATTTTAGTTATGGTACTCGAACATTTTTGGAAACAAGTAATGGGAAATTTGAAGAAGATGATTGGTGATGCTAGGTTGGGAGCTGATATCTTGTTAGATTTATTTCAAGTGTTAAAAGAGGAGGTGTGGATGATTGTAGAATTATAGCATCGAGTGGAGATATTGGGCTTGGACTTGTTAGGCTAAAAGTAAGTTATAGGTGCGCTTGTAATGGATCGGAGTGTGTTTCGGTTTATTTAGGAGAAGAAGATGGGCTTAAGGCTAATGGTTTGGTGACAATTCGAATGGGGCTAAATAGGAGTGAAGCAAGCTTAAGAGGAAAGGTTAGGCTTAGGTGAAGTGACGCTGGGCTAGTGTTTAGTGGTGCGAGTCTGCTATGTTTGGAAGGAGGAGCTGGTTGGCCACAGGTGAGGTGGAGCATCTTGCTCTGGATTTTTAAAAAAAGTTGGTTAAATTTAGAGATAAAGGTATAGTGTTATAAAATGGAAGGTTGGTGGGAACCGACATAGCAAAAGTCTCGGATGGATTATGCTTGCATGAATGAGCTTGGATTTGATGAAACAAAAGGAAAAATTCGTTCATCAAATAAGACATGACGTTAGATAAAGAATTTTTTGCTTGAAATGGAATAAAAAATATAACCTTTAGGAATTTTACTGTAATCTAAAAAAACACAAGTAAAAGAATATGAGGCAAGCTTATGGCAAGCATATGGTCATAACCAAGGATAACATAGGCAACAAAAAACTTTGAGTTCATCGTATAGTGGGGGCGTTCCAAAAAGAATGCGAGTGAGGTGAACTATTTTCTAAGCGAGAGAGTGGAAAGCTTGTTTATGATATAGATGGTTGTTTCAAAGGCATAGGTCTAAAAGGATAAAGGAATAGAGGCATGATTGTAAAAAGGCTAGTCCGAGTTTCAATGATATAGAGATGTTTGTGGTTGACAAAGCTATTTTGCTTAGGTGTTTTTAGATAGGCACTTCTCTAGGAGATGCCATTTTTATTCGAGATATTTGGTTAATGCTTAATACTCACCTTCCTAGTCAAATTGGAATTGTTTAATTGGTTTTCTTAAAAAAAAATTCAACTAGGTGCCTAAACTTAATAAAATTGCTAAGATAATGTAGGAAAAATAACCAATAATATTTTCTAAAATGATTGTAAAAAATAACATAATAAGAATATCCATCAATTAAGGGTACAAGAGAAGGACCTCAAACATAAAAAAGACTAATTTTAATGATTCTTTAGCTAAAAAAATCAGATTGAAGAAATGGTAACTTATGAATTTTTCTTATACTACAAGCATGATATAAGAAAGAATCTTTTATGGAAGGAATATGTATTCCAATGTGTTTCAAGGCGTGGTTAACGATCTTGATTGATGCATGACCAGGTCAAGCATGCCGAGTGGATAGAGAAGGACTATGATTTTCAATTGAAGGATGACAAACTAAGGTTGCACTAAAAGAGATTATGTAGAGCGCATTCTCAAGTAGACCTTTATGGAGAATGTCCTGTGTATTAGTATAGGTGCCCAAGATTCAACCTTGTTTGGATGGGTTTGACTTATTATATTATTACATCATTTATATTGTTTATAATAAAAAAGTCTTTCTATTAATTCTTATTATTTATTCATTGATTATAATTATATAGAAGTCTATACGATACACATTTGCTTTAGTGATTGATCAAAAGATGTGAGACAAACACTAATGCATATATATCGTTAAATGTCACAAGTCGTAACATGGCCAAAAATGGACATTGATTATGTATGAATAGACTTATGAGTGTTATGGTCATGCCACATGATGATAGTATGAGATCTCACACCTATTGGCATGATGATGCCAAAGTAAGCACTTTTGTGAATTATGTTAGAGAACATATCATTGGACTTGACTCACCATAAAAGTTATCTCATTGGAGGACTTATGTTCATTGACACTCATTTTGATGGACCTAGTATAGGATTTTATGTAGGCGATTTGTTAGGTACACTAGGAATCTAATAGAGGTAGGTGAATGACTAAGATTAGACATGTCATTTCTTTTACGCTAAAGGAGTTATCATATTACACTTCGATGATTGTCTACTTAAGAAATCTATTGCTTGCTAGTTTTGGAAATCAAAGAAAACTTGTGTGATCATGATTGAACAAGATTAATAACAAAGTTTGAGATCACATTATGATAAGTTCACATGAGAACCAAATTGTATGGTAACCATACTCGTAAAAGGTAATTGAAGATTAATTAATCCTCTAGGAGAATTGGATAGTTACGATGCCTTTCTTGACTATGTATCAAGAGATAAAATAGGTGTCTTTTATTCTTAGTACATTGCCAACATATCTAAGAGCTTATTGAGTCGCATGCATAAGTTTAAGCATTCACATGATTAAAGAGAAATAAAGATGTTGGAAAAAGTTTTCTATTTTGGAAAAGGTTTCCTAAAATGAAAAGTTTTCTAAAATGGAAATTTTTCTATTTTAGAAATCAATTTCCTAATTTGGAAGTTATTTATAAATTTGGAATGAATAACTTAAAATGGAAATTAGTTTCCTAATTTAGGTTTAAGGAGAATTTAGGAAGTTATTTCCTAATGAGGCCCACCTAAAATGATCTAACTTAATTTATTTGGATAGTCCAAATTAATTAATTAGGTCAAAATAGTTTTAGGCCAATAGGTTTAATTAATAGCCTAAAAGATATTTTGGTTGGATGATAAACATGAACTTTATTAGATAAGGATAAATGTTTTAAACATAAAGATCAAAAAGTAAACATGTAAAATAACTTCATAATCCTTAGAGGATTAGGAAGCAACAACCTAGAGTCCTTTAAGGACTCATTGACGCCCATCCTTCTCCTTGGAGGACAAGGAAACCCCTCCCTACCTATATGGGAGAGAGGTGCAGCAAATAGAAGTTTTTAAGGGGAGAAAAATTTGGCACAATAAGAAAATTAGCTAGGGGCATACGGTTCAAAAACAAAAATAAAGAGAAAATTATTTTCTCCCTAACCCTAACATGTCACTTTTTTCCTCTCTCTCTTTGAGTTGTTACAAATATTATCCTAATTAAATTTCTATAGGAAATGCTAAACAAGTCAAAAAAGGTGGAGCTAGCACTCTATTAATTTTGAGCGCTTTTTTTATGAATGCTTAGACTTGTGTGGATTATCGATAGAGGTCGGATACTTGGATGGATATTTTTTTCCAAGGTTTAAATCTATGCTATAAGAGATAATTCTCTATTTATCACTTTAATTCATGAATATATGGCTAGTTGATTCAATCGCATGATCTTAGGCCCTTTAGATGGAAGAAATTTTTATTTTATTCTACATCTCCATAGGATGCATGATCCTTTACTTGTGTAACCAAGTTCTTTACCAAAAATTTATCAAGAAAAAATATAATAGAAAAAGAATTATGTTTGGTAAATCTATTAACAAATAAAAGATTTTGACTACTCGATGGAACATGAAAAATCTTATTAAGATGATAAGTACGATTGTGAATTTAAATAGGAGAAAAACCAACATGAGAAATAAGAACATGTTTAGCATTAGTTAATTGCACTTCCTCTAAACCAGAGTACTTATTGTGAATGGTAAGATTTTTCAAATGCACCATCATATGATGAGTAGCACTCTTTTCGATAATCCATTGGGAGTTGGTGTCCATAATCCATTGGGAGTTAGGTGTGACGAGAGGTGGAATAAGCAAGTTGAGAGGAAGGCTTTTATTGAGGAGTAGATTGGCATGATTTTAGGGATAGATAGACATTTGGAAGATGACCACTACCTTTGGAATTATAGCATACCATACTTGCTAGAATCAAAATTCATGTCACAAGGATAAGGAGGTCCTAGGAGAGAACCATATGTGAAAGGATGTCTACCACAACGTCTTCGACCATGAGTTAAGGATTAATGACTAGTATAATGAACTAAAATTGGTTCTATAGGCTGAATAGTGTCATGAAATTGAAACTCTTCACTCGGAGCAAGACCATAGAGAATCTCATAAGACACAACCTTATGGCTAGATTCAATTGCTCATACGAAGGACCTATACGTAGGAACAAAACCGCGAGTAAGGCTTGAACAAGGTCATCCATGGGAATAAAAAAGCCAAGAGCATAGAGGATATCAAAGATGGATCGCCCATGCTGAAAGTGATTCTAAATAAATTTAGTTATCTTTTGGACAATTTGATAAAGGTTGCTTTTTAAGAGATTAATCTAGGTTCGATGCCAAAACCATATATAACTCGTCAATTTTAACGAAACCTCTTAAGCTATAGAGACCCTAAAAATAAAAGGTAGAACCTTCTCCGTCGGAGAACCAACAATCTAAGTGAGAACGAGTTGATCATGATGTTTCTAGCTTACAAAAGATGGGTTAGGTTTATTATTGTCAAGTGGAGGATGAGATCCATTTATATGATGAAGAAGACCATGACAATGTAAAAAAGGATAAAGTTGTGTTTGCCATAGGATGAAGTTGGTGAAAGTAAGTTTGAGAATGGATGGGTTATAGAGATTACGAAAAGATGGTGGAACAAATGCTGATGAAGAACGAATAGTCAACAAAAGATTCGATCTAATGGGGTAATAGAGGCTACCATAGTGAGGTTGAAAAAAAACACCATGGACTATTAAGTCTCTAAGGCATCCGATACCATGAAAGAGTTTATTAACTAACTTTGTATAATCTTTATAGAGGTCAATATATATACTAGCTTATGACAACTAGAGAAAACTACATAAGTTATAAGATAGTTATAAGAAGTATAATAGTAGTAAAATGCTATTAGTTATAGGAAGTATAATGACGAGTAATAGTTATCCTTATCATATATACCTAGAATTCAATATTGTTAAAACTAGAAATTTTTATTAAAAAGCATTGGAGAAAAGTTTTGAACCTTTTCAAAACGAGATTAATTTCTTGATTGATAAATCTTGGAAAAGGTGATTAGTTATTTTTTTTCATAAAAAAAAGCAATGAATCTTGTTTTTGTTAAAACTAATTAAAATAATTATGATTTATGAGAGATTATATAAATTTGAATTATTTGTTAATATCTACAATGAGTTATATTTAAAGGAGAAGTATTTCATTTAGCATAAATATTGTGATTAAATTAGGTAAGTTATTATTTGTTAAGTTAATAAGTAAATGAAATAATCTTACACATATATTAAAATTTAAAATGCTATAATTTAACTAACTTGATGTATCATGTTAGCAATGATTTGATGGGATTCCAATCTCATACATTGTGATTATAGGGTTTTTCAAGATAAAAGGATTGTTAA